TTGTTTCTTTCTTTCTTTCTTTCTTTCTTTCTTTCTTTCTTTCTTTCTTTCTTCTTTCTTTTATTTTTAAGTTTTGCTGTAGGGTGCATGTGCCTGCCAGTGAGCGACAGAGATAGAAAGAGAGAGGGAAAATGAGAAATCACCCCTCACCCCAGGAGAGATGGCCACGCCACAGTCCCTTCTGCTCCATTTTCTGTGGGGTTCTGGGCATGCGGGCACACAGGCCTAACGTGATTTTCTCTCTTTCTTTTTTTAGAGAGACTTTTGCTATAGGGCACATGTGCTTACTGGAGAGACAGAGAGACAGAAGGCAAAAAGTCACGCCCCAGGGGGGATGGCCACGCTGCAATTTCTTCTCCTCCATTCTCCTCTTGGGATCTTGGGCACGCACGCACAGGCACCCGCACACACACCCATCGTGTCCAGGACTCGAATCATGGTCAACTACATGGAAGTCCAGCAACATAACCATTACACCATCTGCTGGTCTCCCAATGTGACTTTCTTTCTTTTTTCTTTTTTTAAAGAATTATTTATTTAATTTTATTTACTCATTCACTTATTTTAATTTGATCGGAGAGAGAAAGAAAGTGAGAAAGCAAGCCACCAGGTTCAGGGTTCAAACTGTGGTCAGCTTTATGAGGTGTCCAGCACCTTAACCACCATCCCACCTGCTGGTCCCCACCACAATGTGATTTTCAAGCCACGGGGTCTGGGACTTGAACTGTATGGTCAGCCGTGTGGGATCCAGCACCTAACCACCACGCCATTTGTTGGCCCTCCAGACCCAGACCCACTTTCTGGCTACCTTCATGTGCATGTGGACGGATGTCACGCATGCAATGTGCCCCTCCATGTCTTGTGTTCCGTATCCAGTGAACGGCCCCTCTGGCCACTCAGCGCCCCACAGCACGAGTCCTTTCTGCTCCCGTATCACGTGATCACCCAGCACTGTGGACGCCAGCTCATGATCACACCGGCCCTTACTTCTCGCTGTCTCTGCCTAAGTTCGGACCTTCTGCGCTCTCTCCTGGACCGCTGCGCTGACTTCAGTCCTCATTGAATCCTTCTCACGCCGATCCTTTGCAATAGTAGCTTGAGTGATGTCTTGAAAATACAATCTGGGCCAGCCAGCGGCCTGGTGGTTAGGGCAGCTGGATTGCACATGACTGACTATGTGGTTTGAGTCCTGAACCCAGTAGTTTGAAAATCATGCTGTGTGTGTGTGTGTGTGTGTGTTCAAAATCCCAAGAAGAGCAATGGAGAAGGGATTGCGGTGTGGCCATCTCCCACAGGGAGTGCTTTCTCACTCCCTCTCCATTCCATCTCTCTCTGGTGAGCACAAGTACCCTCTGGCAAATTGAAAAAAGAAGAAAATATTAATCTGAACATGCGTGATCCTTGTCCCAAATCCTCCTCCTTGGTCTAGAGCATGAAGTGGAGGCTCTTTAGCCCGACATTCAGGGCCCTTCCTGAGTCACTCCTGCCTGTCTCCAACCCCATCACTCCTCACAGCTCACATGCCCTCCACCCCGGGTGGCTGACCTACCTAGCCCCAGCCATGCAATGCTGTCTCCATGCTTCTCACACCACCCCTAAGCTCCGAGTGCTCTCCACTGCCTAGGAAAAAGCCCTTGTCACCATCTCTGGGGAGCTTCTCCCTCCTTAGCACTGGGCTCTTCCCTTTTCTCCCTCCCTCTCTCTTTTTGGCATCGGGTATGTGCACTTGTTGGGGAGAGACAGAGAGAAGGAGAGAGAGAGAAAGAAAGCACCCTCTGGGGATGGAATGACTACACTGCAATTCCTTCTCCTCCATTATCATTCTCCTTGGGACTGGGGGCATGCACACACGTGCACCTGGAGAATATTTCAAGCCACCGGGTCCGGGTCTCGGACTGTGTAGTCAGCCACTTGGATCTATTAGAGCTGCCTCAGCCACCACGCCACCTGCTGGCCTAATTCTCCCTTCTTCAGGCTTCCTCAGCTCCCTGATGGTCTGCACGTGCCATGGTAACCACTTGCTCACCAGTGCACTTCCACTGAGCACCCACCACATCCTGCCGTGGGCACTGGGGCTGCTGAGACTAAGACCCAGGGCCTGAGCAGAAGAGGATTCTTTTTTTTTTTCTTTTCTTTTCTTTTTTTGGAGAGGTTTTTGCCATAGGGTGCGTGCACTCGCCAGGCAGACAGAGAGAGACAGAGAGACAGAAAGCAAAAAATCACCCCCCGGGGGGATGGCCACGCCGCAATCCCTTCTCCTCCATTCTCCTCTCGGGATCTTGGGCATGCACGCACATGCGCCCAGCATGAGTTTTAAGCCACCGGGTCTGGGACGCGAACCACAGTCGACTACATGGGAGTCCAGCGACATAGCCATTACGCTAACTGCTGGTCCCCAGAAGAGGATTCTAGTCTAGCGGTGGAAACTCATGTAGGTAGATCACTGCATGTCCTGGGGAAAGCACAGAAATGCAGAGTACAGTGAGTGCTATGAGCACACTGGTGAGTCCCAAGCAGAAGGAGAGCCCGGGAAGGCTCATGCCTGAGGCCCTTACTAAACCACCATTTCCCAGGGAAGAGATCGCGGCAACCACCCATCCATCTCTATAATACGCCCTCAGTACACGCAGTGGGTATGTCTTCAATCACGCTGAACGGAGGACTGAACAAAGGAAGAACAGGTTTCGTCACCTCCTCCTCTGCCTCCCCGCCACTCTGCATCCCTCTCTGTCACAGCCTCGATCACCCTCTTGTGAATTTAAAATGTCTGCATCCTTCTGTCTAGGCTGTGGGCTTCTCAAGAGCTAGGATTATGTTTGATTCATCTCTGTTACCCTAGTACCCAGAAAAGAACCTGGTTTAGAAAAAGCATCACTGGGGGACCAGCAGAAAGTGTAATGTTTACATGGCTGGATGCTCACATGGCCAACCACGGTTCAAGTCCCAAACCAGGTGGCTTGAAAATCATACCAAGTGTGTGTGCATGCGTGCCCAAGATCTCAGGAGAAGGGACTGGCATCGTCATCCCCTGGGGGGTGATTTCTCACTTTCTGTCCCTGTCTCTGGCTAGCACACACGACTTATAGCAAAAACCTCTCAAACAAATGAACAACAACAAAAAAACCCAAATAAACAAAAAAGAAAAAGCATCCCTGGACCCTTGTATACTAAGTGCACACATCCAAGCCCCTCCTTATGGGAGTGGGAGAGAGGTCCATCCCTAATGCTTCACAGACTGGAGGACCCCAAAACCCCAACTCAGAGGCTCTCCCCGAGAGGGTACAGAGATGTGAGCTGGGCGGAGGTTCTCCCCAGGGGACGCAGAGATGAGAGCTGGGTGGAGTCTCTCCCCGAGGGGGCGCGGAGATGAGAACTGGGCGACATCCATCACAGCCTCCCCATCTCCCTAGAGCTCAGGAACCCCCTGCCAGCTTCTTACTGCTGGTCAGTGGCAGAGAGCTCACACCCTCCAGACCAGTCCTGTTGGCCTAAGCTGGGCCTCTGTAGGGTTCCTGCTAGGCAGGAGAAGGCAGCATGGCTCTGGAACTTGGGAGTTGGGCAAACGCAAGTGAGTTATAAATATCTCTGAGGCTCTGCTTCCTCATCTGTGAAACAGGGGTAATAATGACTCGCTTCTCTGTGAAAATACACGAGAAGGCCTGTGTGAGATCCCCACCAGTGTCGGAAACATATAGTCCCTAGTGGTCCCTTAAATCGAGTCAAATTCAGCTCCTAGAAACTTCACTCATTGATACCCACCGGCCCACTGGACCGGCTTCCTCAGTTCCCCTCCTGCCTCTCTTCACGGGCACACTTTCTCTGTGCCACCTGCGTGCCATCCTCCCACCCCACACGCCTCCAGACTGCTGGGTACCTTCACAGATGTCGCCACGCTCCTGGAAACCTGCACTGCAGCTGCAGCGGCCCACAGGCACCAGCCACTCGCCATCCGCACCACAGTGCATGCGCGGGGGGCTGCCTGGCTCCCCTTCCGAGTGTGCCACGCACGTCCCGGCCACTTCCACCAGCGTGGAGAAGGCGCTCTCGGCCGCGGTGGCTGGAAATGCCGCCAGGCCCCGCACCGTGGCGCGACACTGCTTGTAGTAGACGCGCACAGAGACCAACGCCACACAGGCGCCCACGTCCTGGAAGGCCAGGTGGAAACCCCGCCGGCTGAGCGGGCCGATCTCGCGCACCTCGGTGTTGAGCTTCATCTTGCGCTCGCCCAGGTCGCCCTGTGTGAAGCTCTCATCTGCAGCGATGGTGTCAATTTTGTGGGGCCGGCTGCCACCGAGGCGGGGAAGGCCGCGGCCCAGGTCGGCTTCGGTCTCCAGGTAGTAGACGTTGAAGGTCTCCTTGCAGGTGCCGGCGGCGCCAGGGATGCTGCTGCAGTCGCGCAGCGTGAACTGCAGCTCCACGAAAATGCGCTGCCCGCGGCCCCGGCTGATCCAGCCGGTCTGCAGCCAGTTGTCCTGGTTGGGCTCCAGCACGTTACACACCTGGTAGGTGCGGATGGGGCGGTCGTGCTCATCCACGCCGCTGATCTCCTCCCACTGGGGACAAGAGTAGAGAGGTGGACAGCTGGGCATCAAGGGCTCCCTGGAGGCAGGGTCCCAGCAGTGACCCTTACACATCACTGTCTGCCTCCCCTCTCACTATCATACACACCCCTAAAAGCATGAAATGCAGAACTAGAGAAACTTTAGAAACAAACAAGTCCAATTCTTTTTTTTTCTTGCTAGATGATATGTACGCTTGCCAGAGAGAGAGAGAGAGACAAAGAGAGAGAGAGAGAGAGTACCCCCTATGGGGCATGGTCATACCACCATCCCTTCTCTTCTTTCTCATTTTGGGACTTTGGGCATGCATGCACAGGAGCGCGGCATGTTTCTCAAGCCCGTGGGTCTAGGACTCACACCATGAGGTGGGCCTTGTGTGACCCTGCTGCGTTAACCACCGGGCTACAGAGCCGGCCTGGGTCCTTATTTTTATAGGGGAGGAAAATGCATTCCAGAGAGAGGGAGAGTGACTTGGCTGGGTGTGCACACTGAGCTAGTGGCAGGGTAAGGACTGCTGCCTGGCCTGCTGACTCTCCACCCAGTGCCCTTTCCACCGTCCACCTCACCTCACCCTCACCCCAAGTTACAAGCCTCATTTAGAATTCCACGTCTTGCTCTCTGTCGATCAATAACACTGCGTGGAGGATCTACAATGTGCAAGCCACTGCCCAGCTTCAGTTCCTTCTAGATATTTCTTTTCTTCTTTTCTTTTTTAGTTTGCCAGAGGGCACATGTACTCACAGGGTGTGGGGGGGGGAGCACACTCCCATGGGGCATGGTCATGCTGCCATCCATTCTCCTCCATTTCTCCCTCCTGTTGGGATTTTAGGCATGCATGCACATGTGCCCAACCTGTTTTTCAAGCTGCTGGGTCGGGGACTCAAACCATGCAGTTGGCCATTTAGGATCTGGCTGTCCTAACCACCACAGCACTGGTTGCCCCCTTCATTGTTTTGTTTTGTCTCTAAAGAGAGATTTTTGCTATAGGGCTCATGCACTTGCTAGAGAGACAAAGAGATAGAAAGTGAGGAATCACCCCCAGGGGGATGGCCACACTGCAATCCCTTCTCCTCCATTCTCTTTTCAGGATTTTGGGCACACACGCATTCATGCCTGGCATGAGTTTTAAGCTACCAGGTCCAAGACTGGAAACATGGTTGACTACACAGAAGTCCAGCAAGGTAACCATTACACCATCCGCTGGTTCCCCCTTTGTTTGTGTTCTTGTTTTTAAAGTTTCTTCTTATTATCATTTTTTCCATGAGAAGGAGAAAGATTCCCTCAGCAGGGTCTTCACACCCTCATGGCCGCAGCCTCGGCTGGCCACGGTCACAGGCCTCCAGGTGTATCCAGCACACACAGGGAGACTTTCCAGTGGCCTCATTCGGCAGGGCTTTGTGTGCTGTTGTGCCACCACAGCGGCCTTGGTGGCCACGTCTCTATTCCTAGACAGCTAGCAGCTCCTCCCTCACCCTCTTGTTCTGACTGACTAACTGAAGCCCCAATGTCTTCTAATCGGCCTCCCTGGTGAAGCCTGGGCTGCCAGGCTGCTGGAGACCATGCCCTCTGAGGGGTATTTTGAGTTGGGGGTCCTGGACTACCAGAGGATCCCTGGGATGGGGAAGGGCAATTCCACACTTACCCCGTTACTTGGCAGTGCAGTCCAGCCCAGCTCAGCCTGGGAGGCTTTAGAATCCAGCAGGGTGACTAAAGAGAGACAAGAACAGAGAGGGCAGAATGCCAGAGGTCACTTTAGCAGGAGAGTGGGATTCTTTGATGAATTCACCCTAAATTTGCTAACTGAGGGGAGGGAGAATGTAGCAAAGGATACGGACATGTTTTTTTCCACTCAGTAAATCCCAGGAAGGGTTATGAGTAGCTCAGGTCTAGAGGGAGGTGGCCACAGTGATTAGAAAAAGAGCTTGTTTGAGTTTTCTGGGCAGCTGTAAAAATTACCACAGATTTGGTGGCTTAAAACAACCGAAATGGGGCCAGCAGGTGGTGTGGCAGTTAAGGGCGCTGGACTCCCACATGGCCGACTGTGAATCAAGCCCCAGAACTGGTGGCTTGCTTTCTCACTTTTCCTCTCTCTCTTGCTCTGTCCCTCTCTGGTCAAAATTTAAAATAAATGAATAAAGTTAAATAAAATAATAATTTTTTTGGAGAGGTTTTTGCTATGGGACACGTGCACTAGCCAGAAAGACAAAGAGAGACAGAAAAACAGAAAGTGAGAAATCACCCCCTAGGGGAATGGCCACGCTGCAATCCCTTCTCCTCCATTCTCCTCTCGGGTTCTTGGGCACGCACGCACACACGCCTGGTGTGAGTTTAAGCCACTGAGTCCAGGACTCAAACCGTGGTCGACTACATGGGAATTCAGCAACATAGCCATTATGACAACTGCTGGTCCCAAATAAAATAATTATTTTAAAAAACAACAGAAGTGGGGGTCAGCAGATGACATAGTAGTTACGTCGCTGGACTCCCACATGGCCGACTGCGGTTCGAGTGCCCAACCTAGTAGCTTGAAAATCATGCCAGACATGTGTGCATGCATGCCCAAAGTCCCAGGAGGAGAATGAGAGTGAGGGAAGAATGGGGCAGGGAGAGAGAAGGATGGTATTGGGGACTGAGCCATGAGACACCAGGAGCTGCCACTCAGGACGGTGCCAAGGTCTGTGAGCTAGGAGAGCTCCCCAGAGTCACCCCTGGGGGGTGATTTCTCACTTTCCCTCTCACTGTCTCTGTCTCTGTCTCTCTCTGGCAAGCACATGCACCTAAGGCAAAAATCTCTAAAAAAAGAAAAAAGAAAAAAGAAAAAAAAACGTAATTTTTTTCTCTTACAGTCTGGAGATCTGAAACCTGAAATCAGCCTTCATATCAGCACTGGTTTTTGTTTTGTTTGTTTTTTAGATTTTTTTTTTTTTTTTTTTTTTTTTTTTTTTTTTAAAAAAACATACCTTTTTTGGGGGAAATATAGAACACATACACTTGCTGGAGAGACAGAGAGAGACAGAAAGCGAGAAATCACCCTCCCCCCCAGGGGGGATGGGCATGCTGCAATCCCTTCTCCTCCTCTGTTCTCCTGGGATCTTAGGCATGCACACACAGGTGCCCAGCGTGATTTTCAAGTCTTCAGCTCTGGGACTCGAACCACAGTCGGCCATGTGAGAGTCCAGTGATGTAACCATTAAGCCATCTACTGGTCCCTGGATCTTTGCTGGGAAAGTCAAGGTGTCAACATGGCTGGTTCCTTCTGGAGGATGTGAGGGGGAATCTATTTCCTTGCTTCTTTCAGTTGAAGTCCTTGGCCCAGGGCTCCCTCCTCCAGCTCCAAAGTGTGTCCCTCCCGTCTCCACCTCTGTCCTCACGTCGCCTTGCCTGCATTCCTCACAATAAGGACCACTGTGATGTGCCACCAAACCCGGGGACACGTTGGTCCATCCAAATAATCCAGGATAATCCTTCCATCTCAAGATCCTTAATCACATCAGCAAAGTCCTTTAGCCACTTATGGTAATTACGAATAGGTTCTGGGGATTAGGGCATGGATATATTTGGAGAGGTATCATTATTCAGCTTTTACAGAGTTTAAGGCAAATACCGTAAAACTGGCTCTCAAAGTGGGGGCTGTGGAGGTCAGTGACCCTCCTTAGCCTTCCTATGTCCCCCAAGTTTTAGCAGACTGTAAATTCGTAGTAGGCGTGAGTGTATCGGGGGTTCTGGAATACGCCCCCAAATCCACCCAGCAGGGCTCTTCTGAGGTCTGGGTTACCAGGCACAGAGCAGACTTGAATCATTTTACTTTGACTCCCAGGGCCTCTGGGGAAAGCGAAGTGCAGAGACACTACCAGCAACAGGAGAAACGAAAACCTGCCATCTTCAGCCAGCCCTTTCCCAGGGCTGTCACCCCCACAGCCTTTGAGAGAATGTTGTCGGGGGCCTTTAATATATACATCATGGCCCCTCCTACCCCAGAGAAGCTTGGAGTCACCCTCCCAGGCGACACCTGATCAGCAGTCGGCAGCCTGTCAGTGTGGATCACAGAGACTAGGCTGCCCAGAAGAGCCAACATCAGAGAAAGGAGGCCAGGCCATCCTGAAATCTTGGACAATTTTTCATCTGGAGCTGAAGCAAGGGGTGGGCTCCCAGGGTGAGGGCCCGTAAGAGGGATTGGCTCCAAAGGCGTCCCCGACAGCGGGCAGCACCGCCGACAGCACCTCGGAATTGCATATGGAAAGGCATCGGCGTTCCAGCGCCCCGACCAGCCCCACGGCCAGCGCTCCAGATGCCGGCTCCGCGGGCTTCTGCAGCTGGACGTGATGCCTTTGGGTCTAACTGAGCTCTCCCAGATGCAGAATCAGAGGCCAGACGTGGGCTGTGCTAACGCGGACCGCGCCGTGTGGACGACGCTCAGAATTCAGCACTGCGGACAGTTCCACGGTCAGCACTTCGGGCAGCGCCCAGCCCCAGCCCCTCGACCGGCATTCCGCCTCCGGTCGGCTACTAATGCTCCCCTAGCCGCCGCTCCTCCGGCTTCACCCTGTCCCCCGCATTCTCCGATCTCACCTCCGCATCTCCTCCCCGCCCCCACACCTCCCACCTCCAATCACTCAGCCTGTCCGTCTCACCGGCCCCCGAACCGCCGCCTCTGGCTCCCGCGGCGCCTGGTCTCTTCCCCAGCCTCCTAGGTCTCCAGCCCCGAAGCTCCGCAACGCCCCTTTCTTCCTCATTGCTCAGACACCTTTTTCTGTCTCTCCGGCTCCTTGCCGCCTGCTGCCTGTTTGCTTCAAATACCGACACAGACTCCAGTCTCTCCAACGACTTCTCCCGGCACTCCAGGCCCCCAGACCCCCCAGAACACTATCTTTTGGCAACCCAGGCTCTGAGCTTGGCCACCAGTCCCCTCACCTTCCTCGGCAGTCCCGGGCCGCCCAGGTCCCAAGAGCAGCGCGAGGCACAGGGGCATCAGGCAGACAAACAGGCGCAGCGGGTGTGGACCGGCGCGGGTCTCCATGGTCCGCGGACGGAGCTGTCAGTGCGGCAAAAAAAAGCCAGCCCAGCACGGCTGAGCAGACCCCCCAGACCCCAGCGCCGGCTGGGGGCGGGCCTCGGTGGTCACCATCATCCATGGGGACCAATCACTAGGCACCGCCGTGGGAGGTCCACCAATCCCCGCCAGCAGAGGGTGGGGAGGTGGAGTTTCATAGGCCAGGGGCGGAACACCCAGCTGGAGGGGGAAAGGAAGGGGTCCCGCAGATCTCCAGACCGTGGGGGTGGGGCAGCGCTGAGAGCTGGCGGGGGTTCTGGGGAGCTGGATGAGCTGGCGTGGGTGGCCCTGAGCCCTAAACCTTAGCCTCGCGCAGTCCTGAGAAGTAGGCAGTGTGGGCGTGGCTTCCGGAGAGGCGACCCTCGGGGAGGCAGCGACACTGGCAGCCTGGGAGCTAGCCTGGACGCTCTCGGGAAGTCCTCTCTGGAAGGACTTGCTGGGGTTCAGAGCCTAATGTCCTGACCCCGAACTCGGGCGCTCTCCTAACTCCCAGCCTTTACCGCCTTCCTGGGTTGCGGCTCCTGGCGTCTCAAGGCTCGATCCCCGATCCCTCCCCTTTCTCTCCTCGCCCTCGTCACACTCACACACACACACACACACACACACACACACACACACACGGCGGCAGGAGGGAGGGGCTGAGCCCGACCCCGGGGGCTGCTCGAGCAGAGAGCAAAGCCGGAGGCAGGTCCTGCTTAGCGGGAAACCGTGCGGACGCCGGATGGCGGGGCGCAGGTTTTGCAGGAACGATGGTCCCTTAGATCTTGGTCTTGCTGTGGACACACAAGCAGCACACCCCACAGACACAGCGCCTGGAGTCCCCTCTTTGATCACCCCACTCCACCCACCCCAGGAACACTGGTGAGATGCGCGCAGCCGGGAATCCAGGCATCTGCGAGGGAGGCGGGGCAAGCCTCGCGGAGTTCAGCCGGCGCGGAAGAAGCCGCAAGAAAACGTGGAACACGACCTCTACCTAGTGAAGGTCATTTCTGTGCAAGCCGAGGCTTTAACACGTTGGTGGTGGGAAGGGCCGGGCCCTCCAGGACGAGGGAGGCGGCTGTGGAGCGCCACCGTCTGGGCTGCACTTGAGGGGAGAACGCTCCGCCCACCTTGTGGTGTTTCCAGAGCTTTTCTTGGGGACCCACCCCCTCTACCTTTGGAGGCTCTATTCGATAATGGGGGTGAGGTCTGCGTCTGTCTGGCCCGTGTGGTCTGAGCGTCTGCACCTTGCATATATGTGTCTTCTTTATGGCTCCGGCCCACAACTACTGGCACCAGCCCAGTGCTTAGGGTGCCGGTGTGAAGGGCCCATCCCTGCCCCAGTCCACACCTCACTGAGCACGAGTGTAATGAGAATCCATAGCCTCATACACCCCTGGCTATTTACAAGCCACTTCCGTGTGTGTGTGTGTGTGTGTGTGTGTGTGTGTGGTGGCGATAGTGAGTAGAATGAGCATGCACACACTTGCTCACTTGCAGACATACTTGGTGGACAGTAGCGAGTAGGTGGGAAGATTGGTCTCCTCTGCCTATAGAAAGAAAGGTCACCAGGAGGGGCGGGGCCTGGACGCGCCGAGACTGAAGCGGTGTGACGGCTGTCAGGTCCCTGGATGTGGGCGGGGCCTCTGAAATCAGATCTACCTGAAGGAGGGTTCTCACACACCCCCCTTTCCCATCTTCATTCTCCTCACGCTAGACCTCCCCTCCCCCTTCCCCTAGCGCTGTGAGATGGTATTTTTAGAAGCTGCTTAGAGACCCAGGACTCCTTTTATTTCGAAATGAGTCCTCACTTCACCACCCCTCACCCCTTTTTTTAAAACCCAGGCTCCATCCCCTTTGCCATCTCTAAGGCACCGGTCACGGCTTCTCTCTCAAGCTCCAGGGACTTCAGCCCAGAGGTTCTGACCCTAGGTGCTAAAGCAAAATGCAGGCTCCCTCTGAACCTTGCAAGAGTCTTTCCAAAGCCAAACAGATGGAGGGAATTACCTAGGGAGAGCCACAGAGGATGCCCCAATAACCCCGGGCATTGGGAGTCATTCCTGTCCTCTCCCAGCACACACCCGCAAACACCTGGAGGAAACCGCCCGACAGCGACCCCAGACCCCAGGAATGGGGGAAAGAGGAGGAAGAGCGAACAACTTTCTCTTTCTTCGCCTGAGCAATTTATTTACAATAAGACCGGGCAGACGCCACAGTGTATGCAGATATATGCAAATCAACCGGCTCTTAATAAGAGTTGTTCCAAGGCAGGCCCCGCTGTCCCAGAGGCTGTGCCATAGTGAGGGAATTCTGCAGGGGCTTGGAAGGAAACCAAATCATTGCTTATTGTGACCTTTACGTGTTAGGTGTCACTCCATACCTGTGTGTGGGTCAGGTCGCGCCTGACTTGTGGGGGTGTTGGATGTGAGACCAGGCGAGGGGTTCTGTCCATGGTGCTGAATCCTCAGCTCGCGAACCAGCCAGGCCTGCTTGCTTGCTTGCTTGCTTCCTTCCTTCCTTTCTTCTTTCTTTCATTTTAAGAGAGATTTTTGTTATAGGGTACGGACGCTCACCAGAGAGAGGCAGAGAGACAGAAAGCAAGGAATCACGGCCCGGGAGGGGGGGATGGCCAGGCCGCAATTTCTTCTCCATTCTTCTCTTGGGACCTTGGGCACGCACACACATGCACTCAGTGTGAGGTTTTTTTGTTTGTTTGTTTTGTTTTTTTGGATATAGGGCACGTGCACTCGCCAGAAAGACAGAGAGAGAGAGAGACAGAGAGAGAGAGAGAAAGGGAGAAATCACCTCCCGGGGGTGTGTGGCCATACCGCAATCCCTTCTTTTCCATTCTCCTCTCCGGATCTTGGGCACGCATGCACACGCACCTGGCGTGAGTTTAAGCCACCAGGTCCGGGACTCGAACTGCGGTCGACTACATGGGAGTTCAATATCATAGTCATTTCGCTAACTGCTGGTCCCCCCAGTGTGAGTTTTAAGCCAGCAGGTCTGGAACTCAAATCACAGCTGACTACATGGGAGTCCAGAGAGGTAACAATTACTGGTTTGCTGGTCTCATCAGGCCTGGTTTCTGTCCATGGTTCTGAACCCAGGAGATCTGGACCTTCCACTTTCA